TCTCTCTCTCTCTCTCTCTCTCTCTCTCCCCCCCACCCACCCAGCGGCCATGGCTCTCAGTCTCCTGAGCCTCCTAAAAACAAAGCCAAGTCTGGTGCCAAAGCTCTCCATGGTGAGTAGCTATTTTACTGCTTTCCCTTTCCTGAGTAGAGGAGAGAAACGTGTCCGGGTTTGCTGTGTGAGCTCCTCAAAGCCTCGTCTGCTGTAGAAACGTCTGATGTTTGGGTCGAGTCTCTGCACAGAGCTGCACTTTGTCCTGCAGAGCCACATGCACTCAGACGTCTGACCGCGCCCAGCCTCGGTGAGGATAATGCAGTCCACAGAAAATGTAGGCGTGTATGTATAGGGAGCTGAAATCATGGCGTCGCACCCTGGTGGCCTCTGTTCCACTAGCTTCAGTGGCTCGTTAAGCATTTTCTCATCGTTCATTGTAAGAAAGCTGAGAACATTCCTCTGGATTTTTGATTTCATATTCTGTGACAAGCCACTGACCTCTACAACGCCTGCTACCTTTGAAACCTTTGTGGTTTTAACCAGGTTTACTAATGACTTACCTTTTTAGGAAAAACTACAGTTTCTGTGATCACTTCATGGCACAGCGCTACGCGTGCTGCTACGCTGCATGTCGCTCTTATTTACCACTGTTCTGGACTTCGGCGAACCAAACAGCACAGTGTTAACGTGTTTCCGATGTTAGTCTCACCTCTCTAAACGTTTTAAGTTGTAGAAAATGTCGGAGCGTGTGTGATACTCAGAGCCGTCCCTCGACTCAGGACATCAGTTCAATTCTCCCGCAGGTCGACCAGCATCATCTGGTGACATTTCATCCGCAGCTGGGCTTCTGGGAGGAAGTGGTGTTCATTAAAGCCTGGTACAAACGGAAATATTATGTTAATGTCAAAATTATGTTGTTTTAAAGAAACTCATCTTTACAGTGCAAACAGCTGCGGTGAAACTCTCAGTGCTGGTTCTACTCATTAGAAATCTCATTTTGAACGGGCTTCTCTTTCTGCCAGGAAGCAACCTGGAGGTTTCGGCTTCACTTTGCCTCCTGCAGGACCAAAAAAATCGTGCGTTATCACCGTGTTGCTGTCGTAATGTTTTGTGCAGCTTTATGGGTATAAAATGAGTTGTTAATTGTTTCATATGTTGTCTGTGAACAACCACTAGTCAGAAGAACGTAGCTGTGGCTTTTCCCGTGTTATGACTCCCAGACCTCAAACTCACACCTTGGATAGTAACTCTAGTGTTTCTCGACAGTTACACAGCTGCTCAACAGCAAATCAAACAGAGTAAGTGATAAATCTACTAAATCAAACAATTGGACATCAAAGCAGAGCCAAAGATACACTTTGAGAAAAGGCCGCTCTCAACATGAACACATCAGCAGTATCACCAGGGGCCTCGACGGGAGCTTAAAACTCTAAGCAAAGATAAAACACACAAAGCTGCCAGAGCGGGAAGGACGTAAGCTCCAGGTGACTGATGGCTGAGGCCGGAGGCTGACAGTCGTCCAGGTGAGAGGAAATGGCAGAGAGCTCTCCCAAGATAGGACATAGTTTAGAGAGTGACTTCAGCAGCAGGTTGGTAACTGCAGAATTACTGGACAGGTGTGTGAGAGCAGCGAGCCTGGGGAGCCCTGCACCGCATATGCAGGTTTACGGTCAGACCTGCCCTCTGCTCTCTTTACGGTTGGGTTGCACCTCTGTCTCCACCAACACATCTTGAGTGGCATCACAACGAGGCCATGGTCCTGGACCCGCAGAGGCCATGTTCAGAGCAGAGTGAAGAGTTTGTGTGTCTATGTGGATGAGGCCTCAGTCCTCACACACCTCCTGTGTCTCCACACCAACAGGATCAGACGACATCTACTTCCTTCGCTCGTCTTCCAAACACAAAAAGCAAAGTCGAAGTGAGCTGTGTGTGTGTGTGTGTGTGTGTGTGTGGCTTGACATAACATTGGTCTTATTTTTGTACCTATGGAAACAGTTGGCCTGACTGACCCCTCAGGAGGCCCTGGGGCCAGAGCTTGCTTTTGGGCCCTTGTTGGGGACAGAGTACATGAAGAGATTTAGAAGTGAATCGAGCTCTTTGCTCATATTTGAACCATTTGTAAGGTGCACGGAGGATAGACAGAGTGTGAAGTGGTTAAAACACTGACAGCACTGTGACTATACAGAATAACGGTGATGAACGTGTCGGCGCCTCAGTAAAACATTGGTCCCAGGGCTCCATGAGATCACAGCACCAGATGGGCTCAGGCGATGGTGTGCACATTTCCACACCAAGTTGTCAGTGAAGTTACCAAAACCAACTAACATGCAGCTGATCTCAGAGTGAAACTTGTTCAGTCATGTGTAAAGTGAAGGTAATGGGCCAGAATTAGTGAGAACACCTGTGCAGGTGAGCTGGACCTGTGGGATCAAGGGCTTCAAACTTGTCTGGCAGGAACATGATCCGCTCTACAAAAATAAGACCTGTGGTGTGAAAATCAGGGTTTGTCTTTGAGGTTTGGCCAACATGTGGGACTGACGCTGGTCTTTTATTAAACTCAACTGTGACGTGTTTAGTGACACTTACTGCACTGGATTGAAACTACATGGACTCAGAGGCTCTAAGCCAGTTTGGCTTTAAACTGGAGACGTTAGTTGTCACTACTGGACAGCAGTGAAGTCCCACAGTGTTCAGACCTGTGTGCAGTTATGATGCATGTTTGTGTGAATTTAAAAAGCCAAACTATTTTACAACATATGAATGATCCGATGGTCCAGGCTTTGTCTTTCTCTCAGCCACGTTCTGCCTCTGGTTCTGACATCTAAAGACCGACGACCTGAACACACCGGTGTTCAGATCACATGTATGTGTAGCTGTCTGCTCTCTGCTGCAGGTTTCAGTCCAACCGTACAAACAGATGTGGAAAGTAAAGGTAATAGAAACCAAAGCTGCAGGTTCATGTGACAATGAGCTGCTGAAGCTTGAACGCACTTAATTGTTCTCACATTTGACCTTTAAATACACAACTGAATACAAATCAGTCCATTTGATCAGGCAAAGGGAATCACAGCTTCTAAACCCTGTTGTGTCTGAGCCTTTTTGTCCAGGGCCTGTAGCATGAAGCGAGATTAGCAGCTTATCCAGCCGACTCTGGGCTCAGCTCAGGTTTTCAGGTACCACAAAGCTGGCTCACTTTTAATCGGGCTCGATTGTCACGGTAACTTGTGCTGCCTGTTTAACTTGCTTCAGAGCAGGTTAACTTCAGAGGATCAGATCCAAATCTGTCAACAGCCTGAGCCCCGACCAATCACATCACTAGAAACAATGGGCGATTGTTCCTATGGGGTCTGAGCCCACATTAATGCGATGAGTACAGATGTTTCTACAGAGCAGTCGTATCGTTGTGCTGTTTCAGGCTTTCTGGATTTCTAACAGACTGAGGACATCTGCAGCCTTCGTGATGATCAGCACTGTGTTTTAAAGGAACAGATGATTTGATTACGGACTGAATTCCTGACTGTCAATGTTTTCACAGGCTCCATCACTGCAGCTCAGAATCACGAGGACACTCTGTGACAATGGTCTTTTATCAGATCAATAAGCCACACTTAAAATGTCTCCTGATTATAAGTGACCCTGTGCCCTGAGGTGTAGCTCCTCCCCGGTGTCCTCTCTGCTCTGGCTGCACAAACCGTTGGGTTTTTGACAACAGCTTCTTCATCATCAGATAAAGGAGGAAACAATACTCACTGAATACGGCCCTTAAAATAATGCTGTTAATGTGTGGTGTTTTCATGGTCTTTCCTTAGTATTTGAACATTATTCCTAGAGTTTCTATAGTTTCTTATTCTGTTCTACTTTTGTGACTTGTTCACAGTTCACCTGTCGTGACGTGACTTCGTACTCTGCCTATAAACAAGTTTCCCAGCAGGCATCACTGCTCTGTCTCGTATTAGACTCAGAGGCCAACTTCACTCATGGTGCTGTTGTTTCTAATTAACAACTCGCCCTCCTTCACGGGCACTCGTGGCCTGATGGGAAAAGCCAGATTGAACAGAGCCAGCTGATGACCGGCTGCATGGTACTGGCCATAGTTACCCTCAGTTAAGCCAGATCACCCCTAGAGAACCAGAATAAACTGAACTGGCTTTGTGATGCAGGCCTCTGCGTGCCTTCAGGCCTCCTGTCCCGGTCTAGACCATCAGTTCTCTGCCCTTTAAACCATAAAAAGGTCCAGCTGAGATTAAAGTGTTTGTGCAGTGTTGCCTTACTCTGTAAACACAATGTCTTGTGTCGTCTCTACTTAAAAAGGCCAGATCTGTGCTTTGTGTCTCTGTGATGGCTGTTCAGGAGCATCAGAAATGAGCTGCATAAACATTTTCAGTTGGACTTAAACACTGAATGAGTGGAATCTCACATTGAAGTGACAGTCACTTTTCTGTTCAGTTCCACTCATGGTTTCAGCTGCCGAGTCTGTTTTTAATGTGTGAGCCTCTTCACCAATTTCCCCTTATGAAATGTGACGTGCCAGTCTGTCCAAGAGCCTCCGGTGACCGTCGGACACTGTTACTGTTTTCTAACAAACTGAACCAATTTTATTTCAAATAAAATTGTAATAACTTGTGATTGTAGAGCTGGTTTGCTGTAAAACATGGCAAATATTAAAAGATTATGTTCACAGAGAAATGACATGATTACAATTTATGATGAAGTAAGTACATGAGTGTCCGACATAATCCAGCAGCGCCCTGGAGGGACTGTGCTGTCTGATTGTAGCATCAGAATTTCTCACCACATGAGTTAATGAGAAGCTTCACTAACTGCTCTGCTGTTTTTGTCAGAACAAGGGAAACACTACACCAAAAACAGCATCAACAGCCTGACGGACACGTCACAGTACCACGTGGAGGTGAGAACGGAGACTCTGCACAGTCGTCACACACTCTGTCCTTGTCACTGGTCCTAATTATCATCCTGCTCATAATGAGGCCTGCATGAAGAAACACACGTTTATCTATTACGCTTCATCTTCAAAGTGTGTCTCTGGGCGGGGAAACCATTACTCGTGGCTGTAATGTGGCAAGATGTGCCCTCACATCGGCCCCGCTGACACAGCTGACGGGGTCAGGGTTAGGGCTGTTTCTCTTTACTAGTGACCTCGCGGCTGTGGCCACCAAACGGTGGTTCACCATGACGACACGACAGTTGCGAGCTCGTTAATATGCGGATCAGGATTCATTGGGTGCTTTGCAATGACTATGGTTTAAAAGGGGCGTGTCCAGGGCATGAGGCTGATTCACCTGTGCACAGTTCTAGGTGGTGCTCAGTTGTTCGCCATCTGTGACACCGTCACCCTCCACTTGAGCCTCCTAATTACATTTCTCTGTTGTTGCTAAGGGCAGTGGTCACACCAGCAGCTTTAATTTAAAGTCGTTCTGTGCTGCAGTTCCCCAAAAACATTTGAGTGAACCAATCTGCAGATTTAACTCACCCACACTGAATGGATGGTTCCATAACCTCATGTGGTAGATAGGCATGACGATGTAACCATGGGAACATGTACACGTGACCTCAGTGTGTGTTTGTCAGACCCAGCGTTAAAGGAGCCATGATGCAGGATCCAGGGGGGCTTGACCCTGTACTACCAGCCACTGGCATCAAAGCTTTACTGTGCACATTTACACACATCTGTGTTAATGCAGGTACACGTTCATGAAGTGAAATGTGTCGTTCTCCATCAAAATCACTAGACCAGTATTTAACCAGTTTGAAACCAGCGCATGCAGAATCATCAGGAGGGTGCATGGTAGTTTCCCAGTGCGGTTTAGAGCGGGTGCCTCGGCTTTGATCCACATGAAGTGACTGTGTAGAGAATAAGGAGCAGCTGTGTTTGTATTTCGTGTTTACAACCTGTTCTCCTGTGTCATGTGCAGCATCTCACCACATTCGTATTGGACCGTAAAGACGGGATGATCACGGTGGACGACGGGATCAGACGTCTCCGTCTGCTGGATGCCAAAGGTAGAGTGTGGTCTCAGGAGATGCTGCTGCAGGTGGAGGAGAAGACTGTCAGCCTCATCGACCTGGAGACAAGGGTGAGGCTCACCGACTCGAATCGTATGCTGCAGATATTTTGACACACCACTGGGTGACCTGCTTCTTCCTCAGGTGAAATGTCTGTTTCCAACGCATTGTTCTGTGCAGCGTGAGGAGCTAGTGGAGTTCAGACGCTGTCCAAAGTAACCACTGGAGCTATTTTAATTAGGACTCAGTATGAAACTGTATCAGTGTCAGCGCTCTTGAACTTTTCACATTTAGCTGATAGTGGGTTTTCCTGCGACGCGTCCTGACGTGTGTTTTCAGAACGAGCTGGAGAACTTCCCCATTGGGACAATCCAGCACTGCCAGGCTGTGATGAACACCTGCAGCTACGACTCCATCCTGGCTCTGGTGTGTAAAGAGTCCGGTCAGCCTAAACCAGACCTCCACCTGTTCCAGTGTGACAACATCAAGGTAACCTTCCTCTGATTGGTTCTTTTAGTTCAGAGTCACAGGTGTGTTAAACAGCATGTAACCATAGCAACAGGCCTGATGTTTTGTATCAGGCTAACCTTAAGTGATTCAAAGACCCCTGGGAACTTAAGGCCCTCTGAAGCTGTGGCTGCTCTGCTGCCTCCTTAATCACATTTAAAGGCTCAAGGGCCTCTGTAAGCATGAGGAACAGTTGCAGCTTCCTCAAGGATTTTTAAACCTCCTTAAGTAGCTCTGCACTGGCCTTATGGACCTCTAAAAGCTCCTTGAGGACACAAGAAACCTCCTCAGGGATCTCTGCAGCCTTTTTATGGACCTGCAGCCTCCTCGGGGAGCCCTGGACAACCTTACAAGTTTCTTGTGAAGTCCCAGGACCGTTGGGCCCTAGAACCTTTTGTCAAGAACCTTTGAATCCTTCTTAAGAATCTCAGTATCATCCTCAAGGACCTCTGTATCCATCATAATGTCCATGTAACCCTCTTCGGCACCTTGGGAAGCCTGTAAAGGACCCCCAAAACCTCCTCAAAATTCTCAAGAACCTTGTCGTGCTGCTCAAAGGGCGATTTATTACTGATTAATAGATGAATCGGTAATTGAAGTGATTGCTAACTGCAGACATGCCCCAGGTGTAATGTCTGAAAGGGCTTTGAATTGGTTGTTTGTGTGTTGACCTTCCTCAGGCGAATCTGATCCACGCAGACATCGAAAGTGCCATGATCGATGCCAAAGGATGCAAAGTGAAGAAGAGACCAGAGACACTGAAGTAAGAACTGATCATCTGTCACTTGTCCTTATTGAACAGTGTTTGTCATGCAGACAGCTGATTGGCTCATCCACTTGTTCATCTGTCTGCAGGATGATCACTCAGGAAGGGGGTGGGACCCACCCCCCCCCCCCCCGCCGCTCCCGCCCCCGAACCCCCTGTATCGTCTGAGCAGGTGGATGTAAAGACCCGCGTGGCTGCCTGGTCGGCCTGGACCAATGAGCAGCAAGACTGTGAGTGACTTCACTTCACAGGACGTGTGTGTGTATCAATAGTTTTGCTGGTTTGAGTCATTTTTTGGAAAAATTCTCAGGTTCATGAATGCGTTTAGTTTTCGGGTCCCCTGGTCAACACTCTGCAGTGGAGTGAGTATCTTTGGGGCTGTTGGTTTGACAAAACAAGACTTTTGGATTCTGGGGGGGAAAATCATTTTGGTTTTTGGTTCATTATTTTCAGGCTTGTGCACAAACCTGGAGTTGGCAGGTGAGGGCTTAATGTCAGGGTGAATCTCCAAAGTGATGAGTGAGGTCATTTCTCTGTTGCAGATGAGAGGCAGAGGCAGGTGTCAGCGGACGGACCGGTGGACCTGACAGCAGCCAGGGTAGACAGAGACGTGGTGAGTCACCTCCGTCACTGTGGTCCTGTCAAAAGCTGCCGTGCTGTTTACTGATCTGAGAGCAGCCGGTGGGCCTGAGTTTAAATCTGAGGGCGCTCCGGGTCACGGCACAGTAGATGAAAGGTTGAACCTGACTGAAGAACATTGTTTAATCAGTTTGGGAGCGCAGAAGGAAAAATCTGCTTACATAACGAGAGATTTCTGTGAGTGTGGGAAAACTGAACTCTGCTCTGTTGGTTTAGGTTTAGTCATTAAAGTCAGTAAATCAGTCCTGAATAAATGTCACGTTAAGGACAAAGCCGAAGGTGAGATGAAACAAACTGTTTCCTTGTAGCTCGCTGGTTATTAGAGACAACAATAAAACCAACATTTGTTTTGCAGCAAATCCTGAACCACCTCCTGGACGACATTGAGTTCTTTGTGACCAAACTTCATAAGGCCGCCGAGGCCTGTAACGAGCTCTCCAAGAGGAAGAAGACCAAGAAAGGCAAAAAGAAAGGTCCTGGAGGTGAGGACGCGTGCTGCTTGTGCACGTCCCTGCTCTTGTGTTCTCTGTGCACAGTGTGACTAAATCATCACTCAGCTTTCCACTTAGATTTTTTTTTGCCTCCAACTCTTCGATCCAGCTCAGGTAAAAGTCATTTTCTGTAGTTGAGAATTTGTGTGATGTTTACTGGTGATGTGTCCACCAGAGGGCGTCCTGACTCTACGCTCCAAGTCCCCCAGCGAGGGCGAGTTTGTCGACTGTCTGCAGAAGTTCAAACACGCCTTCAACCAGCTGGTATGAGCCCCTCCTTCTCTTGACCACAGGAGCAGAAGCTGTCTTTTCCGAACGTCTCACTGTGTGTGTTGTGTGAACTGCAGGAGAAACTGAAGGATCATATCCAGAATCCCAGCGCTGTGGACCTGCTGCACTTCCTCTTCACTCCCCTCAGCATGGTCTGTGTTCTAAAGCCTGTTGATTTGTTCCTCCCCAGAGCTTCATGTGTGTGTTCCAGCCTCCTGTGGTTTGTTAACTGGGTTCTGACCGTTGTCCTGCAGGTGATCCAGACGTCGGGCAGCGTGGACCTGGCTCGCAGTGTCGTGGTTCCTCTGTTGACCCGAGAGGCCATCGACTTCCTTCACACCTCAGGAACAGCAGAGGAGAGACACCTGTGGGTCACTCTGGGGGACGGGTGGACCAAATGCAGGTGTGTGTGTGCATGCGGTAGGAGCTCTACATGTGCCAAACAGGACCGACCATAAGCAGATTACACTGTCTGCCTTTTAGCATCCTAGCAAGGTAACATGCTAAATGTTGGCTACTAAACAACAGCGAGCATTTTGCTCTGTTAATATTAGCATGTGTTCGTCCAGCAGCGGTAACACAGTCTATTACTGTTACTCTGCTCCACCCAGGTTGGTCTCCTGGACCGCTGCTCCATGGTTAACCACAAATCAGATGCAATCATTTGACCCGGTGACCAACTTCTTACTGTGTCTGCAGGTTGGAGTGGCCGAAGGATCACTACTTTCCTCCCTGTGCGCTGAAGTTCCGTGATGGCTGGGAGCCCCCAGCGTTCTCGGTGGGTCCCGGTCGAGAGCAGGAGCTGACCCAGCTGGCGGAGACGCTGGTCAGCGCTGAGATCCAGAGACACGAGGAGCTGGAGGAGGTCGGGTTTCTATCTGCACCCCCACACATTCAGTCGCACGTCCCAGGAACGTGTAGTTTGATTTGTTTCTCTGTGTTGGTGCAGCAGTCGGCGGTGCAGAGGTCCCCCCCCGCAGACGGGTACGCCTTCTCCGACGCCTCCTACAAACGCACGCAGATCCTGGATCAGGACATGGCCGTGGCTGCACTTAAACAGGCCGTTGGTCGCCGTGTAGACCGGTAACATCCTGACGCCCTGGAGAACTGATCCCACTATCGTGTCTGTGAAACTGTGGAGGAGCAAATCTGCCTTATTCATCACCACCAGAAAACAGGAGTCAGTAAAGGTGGAAGCAAAATTTACATTAACTTATTCACTTATTAACATAGTTACACAATTTATAAATGTAGGTTTCTTGAAATATCAATTTGTGTAACTTTGCTCATTTTAGTATTTCAGGATTTATTCGTACCTTTTGTTTCGATGCAGTGGTGAATAAGGCGTTGTTCCTCTTTCTAACTGGAGTCTTCTGATGAGCTGCTCGTTTTGGGACTTTTCCTTTCTGATTGTTTGCTGCTTAACACGAGGAATCGGAGGGAAAAGATCCAAACTGGACAAACCAACTTTCTTCAGAACTAATCTTCCTTTGCTTTGAACCTTTTTAGCTTTGAAACTTCAGCACTGAATTATCTTTGAATCACGACTTTAATTTCATTTCTCTCTCATCTGGGACATTTCTCCATGGCTTCCTGGAGCCAGGTAACAGTTCATAGAGGCACGGCTCTGGGCCCGGTTAGATTTTGGACTGTAGCTAAACATCACTGTGTGACACTGTTGGCTGTGAGTGATACAAATATTCTGACTAAATGGCACGGTCAGTGGCTAAAAAGGTGTTTAAAACATCGTGACAATTTTATGAAACATGGCAGGTCGGACCAGAAAAAACTAAATCCTGTGCATGAGTGAATAGTTTGTGCTCTGACCGGAGCAACGTGTGCACTTTGTGCTCCTGGATTAGCTCATTTTGAACGTACAATTAATGTTAATCTCCTTAAAACATTGGTCTCGGTCATTGTTTCCCCTTGAACATGTTAAATATGAACACAGTTCTTTTCTTGTGTGCAAAACGTACTAAATCAGGGTCAGTGGTTTTTTCTTTTTCTTTTTTTCCATCCACATTCTGTCTGTGACTGTTGTACTTGCGTTGTGGCTGGTTGATATATTTCAGAAGTTTTGATGTGGACAGCAGAGGCCAACCGAAACAGTTCGCCAAGTCCAAATACGACTTCGTGGCACGAAACAACACGGAGCTGTCTGTCCTCAAAGACGAGGTTGTCGAGGTATGCTTTGTGTTTTAATAAGAAATCATCCGCGCCAATGTTTATGTTCATGTCAGAGAAATTATGTTATATCATCAAAATCGATCTCTGTCAGCCAGATCAGCGACCAGCCAAACAGAATATTTTCTGTTTGGTGGTTTCACATTTCAGTCTGGTTCTTCTTTCAGTTCTACTTGCTGATACAAACACAAGCCCTGTGAGAGCCGCTCCTGCTGCACATACTAGCATCGAGCAAGACAAACCGAATTCCTTGTCTCATCCCCGACTCTCGTCTGGCAGGTTCTCGATGACAGGAAGCAGTGGTGGAAGGTTCGTAACGGCTGCGGGGCGTCCGGCTATGTGCCAAACAACATCCTGGAGATGACCAAAGCCGTGGACATCACTGGCCGAGGAGAGCCCGTCTACAGCCACACCATCCAGGTAGAACCCAGTGGGGCGAGGAAACTGGTCACATCATGATAGTGTTGCCAGTTTCAGCGTTGAAAATGTTTGTGTCAAAGATTATTTAGAACTGAGTGAAGTGTGAACACACAGACATGAAACACAGCTGATCTGGTTCAGTGTGACGTCCACTTCATGAGGATCTCATGTCCCTCCACAATAAACCTCCACAAATCCCCTTAGAAACCAGAGGAGCAGAGGCTGCATGAGCTGCCTGCCAGTCCTCCTTCAGTGTCTCGGTGATCCAGTGATATCTGTGTGGACGTCCACACAGGAGCTGCTCAGTCCCTTCAGTTCCTAAAATGTGATAAATGTAGGTTTAAAACAAAGTGGGTCTGAAGCTGTTTAACAAAAGAATCTCTTAACTGTACTGACGTTCAAGTTCCTGTTCTCCGCAAAGGAAACGAACCACTGTTAGTTTCATCTGCCATTACATCACTGTCTCATTTCCACTCATGTTTATTTTTAATTTCCAAAGCTCATGATGCCAAAGAAGGAGTTTGAGTTGTTTAAGGTAGGTCCAGGGTCATGTGGTTGTTGGTTTGCAGTAGAATTCCACAAATCACCATATGCTTTGCTGTGGGTCCTTAAAGGAGCAGTCTGACGACGTGGACCTGGTTCTCTGTGAGAGGACCGCCGCTGTCAGACTGCTCTTTTTAAAAGTGTCTGATTGATGTGTAGAAGATCCTGTCAACAGTAGGTGTGTAGACTTCCCCTGCAGTGAGTTTGTGGTGAGTGTTGTCAAACACGTCACTCTGGCGTCTCATCACCATATTTGTGTTTGGTTTTGCATCGGCAGCAATTACTGGGAGAGTTGAACGAGGTAAATGGCAAACAGACAGTACAACTTTAGAAAGTGAGCTTCATGTGTTTCAGTCAGTAAACACTGATGTGTTTCCAGATTCCAGGCTGTAAAACCTGGAAACAAACCTCCGCTTGTCCCCCACAGAAGCAGAGTACGAGGACAGACCACATTCCCAGTAAACCAGGAGCCGCTCCGATGCCTCCAGCCCCTGTCAGGGTCCCCACGCCTCCACTGCCTCCCCCTGCCGCCGAGCCTGCCAGACCGGCCCCCATCAGCCGCCAGAACAGTATCACGTCCAACGGCAGCGTGGCCACGAGGGACCACAACAGCCAGGGACCAGTAGTTGTCGACCGTGAGTCCATCATGGACTCTTGGTGTCCATAACTTTATAATGGTTGTCCTGGAAACGGGTAAAACGCTTAAAGCACATGCAGATTGTTTCCCTTGATTTTAGGAAAATAACATTTTTCCCACCCAGCTGAGATTTAATTTTGTGACCTGTGAACTTCATATCTCTGCATTATACCTGGGTAAAAGTACAAAGGTGTTATCAAAATAATCTTAAAGTACTAACAGTACCAGTAGTGATTCTGCAGAACAGCCCAGTTCATCGGATCATTGTGTTCCTCAGCTGGTAAAGGTGGAGCTGATGTTAACTACCTTATGTAAAGAACAGCTTCCTCAGAACTTGTGAAAATGTACCGAGTTCCTTACCCATGCTGCTGAGTTCAGCTGGTAATGATACAATACCAACCGTGTTACCCGGTCCATTGTGTCCGTCCACAGGCAGGAAGTCCAACATGGAGGAGGTTCAGGACGAGCTGATGCACAGACTGACTCTGGGCCGCAGCACTCAGAAGAAGTTTCAGGTTCCCTGTCGCAGTAACAGCAACCTCCACCCGTCGGTCAGCATCACCTACGAGTCCACACCCGATGAGGTCAAAGCCTGGTTGGAGGCCAAAGGCTTCAGCCCCGTGTGAGTCTCAGGTCCACCGCTGGGTCATGAGGCCAGCCGGAGTCCTCACGCTTTTTATTCTAATGTAAAGCAAAGTGATGATGCACTTTAGGCTGTGACAGAGACGGTTAAAGTGAAGGCAGACATTATATTATGTTAAGAGTCAGATTATCAGCTAGTACATCAAAATCTTTTTCACTCCAAACCAAGATGTGTAAACAGATAAGACAGAACAGGGTCGCAGCGGTATCCCAGTTTCACGGTACACCATGGTATGAAAATGGAGAGTTATCATACCGGGCACATTCGGTTATTACCGGTATTGAAATAAAACACAGTGCATGTACACCTTTCTTCCCCGACTGCCTGTCGGACTCCACACCAGTGGACAAAGGGCAGAAAGGAGGCGGCTGAAATCAGCAAACTCCATCCAGTAACAAAGACATTTAAACCAGCAGGATTAGTTTGGCGATCTCAGAAACGAGCGGCGTCTCTCCTACAGGTCAACGTATGTGTCCCGTCTATAACTTTAACCCCAAATGATAAACGTCAGGTATAAAATGCTCTATCAAGATCAATTTCCACGTTGTCTGGTCATTGACTGATCTCTGACTTACAGCAGGACTCACACTGATCTGATCCCACAAACACACAGACTTTGCCGGCTCGTGTGTGTGTGTGTGTGTGTGTGTGTGTGTGTGTGATTAAAGACAGACGGGATCGGTCTGGCACTAGCAGCTATTGTGATTATGGTTTAAAGCAAGGCGGTGCCACGTCTCACTACTGTCAGACATTTAACAGACCAGTCAGTCGATTAATGGAGAAACTAACCAGCAGGTTGATCTGTACTGAAAATAATCAGTAGCTGCACTTGGACCCAAACTAGTTCAGCAGAGCTGCAGCTGCACCGGCCACGTCCTGCTTTATATCGGTGCACGAGACGGGCTGGTGACGTGGCACTAGAATATACTGTATAGTACAACATTCTTCTGCAGTGAGTAGCCTGCTAATACTTTCGGTACATGTTTGTGTTAATACTTAACATTGTAACAGAGTAGGTTACTTTTACAGTGAGGTATTAGTACTTTAACTTAAGGGACATGAATACGTGCTCTGCTACTGGTGCTAGGATGCAAACTAACAGGCTTTAGTCATGTAACATGTTATCTGCTGTGTTTTAAATCTTTCTCTGTTCCTTCTTCGGGGTCAGTCTACTGCTGCAGTCCAGCTCAGTCTGCTGCAGTAAACAAAGACCTTTCATTTTTCTGAGGGTCGTTGTAGCTGATGATAGTAACTGTGTAATACTGAGACGGGTACCACACCGTGAAAATCACACCCCATTGCAAACCTCGACAGAGTTGTTAGAGAAGGCAGAAATGTGACTTAAATTTAAAGAGAAAAATACGTAGTACATTAAAAAACATTTTAAGTGACAGTAACGACCATTTACATCACAAGGATTAATGAGAGAACCATTAGACGAGATGTCCAACTGTGACTAGTTGAAATGACACCAAGTCTAGATGATAAGTCCAAGTATTAATTGATAAGTCAGGTTTATTGATCTGGGCTTCAGCTCAGATTTGAACAAACCCAGGAAGATAAATCTCCAGAATGACACCGGTTTGATGAAGCTTTGTTGGCGTCACAGTAGCTAGAGGGGTTTGTATAAATTATCAAGTTGTTGGAAACAACATCTGGCCTGATTGTGTAATTCATTGCTTCCTCGTCACCTTTTACCCAAATGTTTCAGTATTTTTTGGTCTGAAAATTCACCAGGTTGTTGCTCAGTTGCACCCTGCTCATGTTTTCCAGAGCAAAGGGTGAGGTAAAAATTAGACTCGGAGGCAGATGTACTTACTGTGTTCCTACCTGTGTCCCCCGTGTGCAGCACCATCACCAGCCTCGGCGTGCTGACTGGAGCTCAGCTGTTTTCTCTCAACAAAGAGGAGCTGAAGACAGTTTGTCCCGACGATGGCGCTCGAGTCTACAGTCAGGTCACCGTCCAGAAGGCCGCACTGGAGGTGGGTGTTCTGCTCACACATGATGCCATCGACACCCTTCCAGCCTAAACATGGACTGTTTCTCTTCATGATGTGATGTGTAGAAGGAGTGCTGATGAAAGGTTTCCTTTTTTCATGAATAACTCTCCCTGTAAAGTTACACTAGAGTCGCTTCAGATATGTGAAGCTTTCATAGGTTTAAAGGCCGTTGTGGGAAAGCATTACGATGCCCTGTGACAGTACAGTGAGCTGGTGATTGGATCATTGGTGTGTGGATGTCCTCC